GGGAACATCGGGTGAGCAATAACGTGGTTCGCCGTCCTATGCTGGGTGCGGATAGTCATTCTCCAAAAAATAACTAATCACTCAACACCCCCCTCCCTCTCGGGCGGTTTGGTGAGGTTTAACGTACGCCTGCCAACTGCCAATCCTTCCCTGCTATCTGTGCACGCGGTGAAAGAGGCGTGGCGGCGGGCAGATCATGATATGGTGTAGAGGTATGAAGCTGACTTCAGCTTTGGTTAGTTCAGCCCGCCTTCCAGGCTGAGAAATGCCGATGGTTAGAGAGGCTGAGAGATATGGCCCAGAATGGAAATCAGTGGCACCATTGTTATGCGGTTCGCTAGTTCAAACCCCGTTCCTCGTGGTAGACAAGAAAACACTAAAACGCATACGGCGAAACAAACAAAAAATTGTTCTTTCCCTCGTTCGTTCTCTCGGTTCTCTCTATTCCCCAATTTCACTTTATTAATCTGTACCCTTTACTACCTTTAGAGAGACATTTACATTTACATCACTATTGCTGCGTTGGTATTATGCTTGTCCTCAAACCAGTTTGAAAGATATATATATATATTTCATAACAAGTAGTATATGAATGACTGGACAAAATTTCCCTGGAAGCACACTACCAGTTTTGCGGTTCTTGCCGCTCGTCAAGCATGCGTATCCGGTAACCTTTGGTCAGTTAACACATACATGTCTTCCACAACCAGCCATATCACTCAATGTCTTCTGAGGAGTCAGTAAAGTGTATGATCCCTGTTTTGGTGCGCTTTCGCATCGAAAATTTCGAAAAAGCAGACAAGCCTTTGGATCGGGCAACAAGTTCATCCGTTCACACTGTGGACCGGGCGACAGGCGAATTCTAAGAACCGGGACTAGGTGACTCGTGTGCACTGGAGCACCTAATGCACCCTAATAATCAAACCTCTCGCGATGACCAGCCACCATTCACGATGACTCACACCGAATTTTGTCTGTGCGATAGGACGAGAAAATAAACCGATTTTGAGCAGGGTGCAATAGTATATGCGTTCTACCAAGTGAGACTCGCTTGACATGAAATCGCTAGGCAATATAAGAGAGACATAGACCGGGAAACGTCACATGACGACCACCAGATAGAATGTAAGCCGCAACATGTGCCCGAAAGGCGAGCGAGGGATTCCACAAAAAAGAAACTAATGAAATCAGAAAAAATAGCAGAATCATTCATCCAGTCTCCATGTGGAATTAGGGAGCCTTGATCGGAACCGGTGATAGAAAACGAACGAAACTTTTGTGTGATGAAGAGAGCAGAAGGGGGTGGACCCCATACACATGAGGAAACACGGAATGTTTGATCGCATTTTCCGCCCTAATTGACTAGAGCACACAGTATATAATTTGGCCCTGAAATTCACTACACCTTATTGAACAGCGAAATCGAAGGTCCCGATCAGACGTGGTTTTGTCAGATGCGGAAAACCGAGTGGTGCACTGTGTATAGTCTAATGTATAGATCAAGATTTTCACACAGGTCTGTAACGCACACATACCTTGGCAAACATCTCTCACCAAGGTATTCTGATCATATTGCTTACAATACAATGGTTTTCTCATATATTTATTCAAGACCCCTTCAGCTAATAACAGGTGTGTGTCAACCAAATGTAGCAGTTCAATCGATCAAAAAGGCCGTAAAATGCAAGCGTATTATTCTCGGGAAATCTGAGGCACAGGTGAGCCACAAAATTCAAATATCTGATCAAAATAACGATAATAGAAGTGTCTGTGTTAACGAACGACTGTGGTCTCAGAGGAACGATCAATAGTGGCGAGTGAATGCGGTCTCAGCAATGAGAGGCAGTCACAAGGCTCACCCGAAAACGAATAGGCGAGGCGGGGATTTGTTACACCAGAAGACGCGCATGTACATTTGTGTGTGTGTGTGTGTGCGTGTATGAGGATTTCGCCTGTAGTCAAGTAAACAGAAATGAGTATAGTTAAAATGGGATGAAGGGGGGGGGAGGAATCCACAATCCTCCACCTCACTTGACCAATATGAAATGGACAACTTGTCGTCCAAGCAAAATTTATGGGCAATAAATGGCGCCATTTGGAAAAAGATAGCACGTGTGTGTGTGTTGTGAAGGGATGGCAGGAGAGAGAGGACCACAATGGGACAAAAAAACCTCACGTGGATTCAACAAATTTCATAATCAAACAAAAGATAGGGATTGAAAATCGGACACATCCAAGGATAAAACAAACCTCATGCAACGGGCGGACGTGTCACATACAATAGTGGGGGGGGAGGGAGTGAAGGAACGATCGTGCGGATGACGGGAATACCAACGTATCTATTAAAAAATCGAGCAGGAAGACTCTGTGAAGTAGAACAATCAGACAGAATTCCCACTCAGATGCATATCATTCAATCCAACAAGAAGGATAGAAACACCGTTATAAGAGAGTCTGGAGCAGAGAAAGAGAAGATTAGATCAGCAAAGATCTCTGCCTGTCAGAAGCCCCGCGAGACCACATGTGAAATAGTGAATAGTTAGAGAATGGGATTGAAACAAAAAGATACGGCCCATTTGTGAATCGGCCACCCGACAAAGAAAAAGCAACTATTTCCAGGAATAGATTTATCTGGATGCGCAGTCAAGTAGGTCTGCCAACGAGAGAAAGACCAATGTAAGTTATCTGGGCATGTGAAAAACAAGTTAGGCCGGCTATATGTATCGGTCTAACATCCCTAACCTCCTGCGTCCTGTGAGTCGACGGGTTACGGGGTGGGACGGGACGGAGAGACGAATGATTTAAAAGAATGGGTCAAATTGGATTGACCGAAAGATTTCGACGTGGTAGCGATGGCGGTGAGAACCGGGAATTCAATTGTGAAAGAGGTACATTTATGTATATAAATATACATGCTCATACTGATTTGTGCAGCACCAACGTCAACGAAGTCGGAACATGTTGCCTTTCTTGTTTTTCTGGGTAGAACGGACCTTGCTGGAGTCGGCAAGCCGCATGAGAGACGAAGCGGAGGCGCTCGGATTGGTTGCAGACCAGGAATTGACCAAACGTGCATCAGGATTACCGTTGTCTGGCAATATTCTCGAAGCAGTAGGCTGAACAATGCAGAGGAGGTTGAACGAGTGAAGACAATTATTTGATTGAACGTAATTATGTTCCAGCCCAAAAGACGTGAGAACACCAATGTAACAGGCAAAAACACCATGCAATGCAAACGGTTCTTTATGGTTTCGAAACATTTCGGTCGAAAGAGGGTATACTTGTTAACAAAGCGATGCAAGTGTAATCATACAAATTCGATTAGGAACAAAGCAATGGAAGTCGGACGAACAATATTACCCAGACGGATGACAACAAGTTCAGAAAGTTATTTGTTAGAGCAGAGAATATACCAACACCGCCAATAATGGCCGTATGGAATAGATAATGACCACCAGTTGTTAGTTGACTGTTGGCATCGAAGATTGCCCACAAAGATGCAACAAACATTCAAAGTAATTCGTGTAATCCTAGTGATATAAATTGAAATTCACCGAATCCAGTCGTCCCGGTGGCCTAATGGATAAGGCGTCGGTTTCCGGAGCCGAAGATTGAGGGTTCGAGTCCCTTCCGGGACGTGAGACTTTTGCATTCCCAACAATCAAGGTGAGCGAACTCTGACAGAGATCAGTGAATTAATAACTTCGCGTCAGCCAATTCCCACCAACTGTCGGAGGCCACTTACGCCGTTCCATCAAATGGTTGGTTTGAAACTATGTTTTATTACAGGTTAGTAAATTCCATACATTGTGGTGAATCGCATTCAGAATTTAACTACTCATGAGTAGTAATTGTAACGCTCAAACAAAATCAGCAAACTGTGGGTGAACACTGGGAATGTANGTAATAACCAACGGGCCTCAGAGCAGCCAGCTGAGCACCAGCCGAATCAAACAACCCCCAAAACAAACGAGTAACCGAGATCAAACTGATGATTAATCATAGGTGTGTGTGTGTGTGTCTCAGAGCAAACGATGAAAAGTGCGCAACGCACTGTGTGAACGATGAAGGGGAGAGTGGATGGTTAGCACACGCCTGGGGGGACAGTTTGCATACACACCAGATGGGTGAAACAAGAACTCGGGGAAATAATACCTGTCTGTTATTTTGCAGCCTCTGATAACACAAAGGGACATAAAATAAATGAACGATAAAGGGTAAATTTAACGAGGTTGGTACAAAGTCAATGCCAAAATTAGTGCCCATTGTACCTGAACCAGCCTGAAGATAGTGAGTGCTACGCCACATAGGTGGTATCAGATTGGTTGCTCATCGACACCTGCTAGATTGTTCCCAACTATTTACGTCACTCCCTGGAGGAATAAAACTAGCCACATGTTACTGTTATTTATGATCCTGCTTTTCAACAGCCCACCAAAGATCACCGATGTAACGTACGTTCGTTAGGTAACAGCTTCGAACACAATTTATTTCTGTTTTTGTTTCCCGTCCCAGGAGTCTACCAAATACTCCTAGTGGCCTGAAGAAATCTAAACCAGTAGTTTTCATTAAAGTAGTAGGCTGGGGGGGGGACCGGAAAGCCGGATTTACGGGTGACTGGTCTCTAGCTATAGAGGAGCTGGCACGCCCAGATTCCAAAACAAAAACCCATTCATGATCAGGTGCATGAACTACTTCCGGGACCATTGTATATTCAGTCATCGACTGGAGTGGGCAATGATGTGTATTTTTGGTTCATGGGTGCCCTGGCCGAAGGGCATATGAGCTGATCGACCGGACACCGCCCCTCCCCGGTGGATTGTGTAGTCGAACTGCCACCTCAATGTATTGTAGATTAGACCATTAAATCGGAGGACTGCCGCAATGAGGTTTAAACCAAACTCCTTTTTTGGGTTAGACGACCCAGTAGATAAAGATAAACAATATCTCGAAAACAAAAACGACCCATAGAGTATCCACTTTCCATATGTCACAGTTACCACTACCCGCGGCGTTTCAGATTGGTGTGAAAATGATAACCATGACGATCACATTAGAAATATTATATTGATACCATAGAAGCAAAAGGGAAACAATTCAGACGTTCATTCAGTTAAGGGAAGAGGAATCCGACTGAACATTGAACAACAGTGCCCACTCGCATGTGTTCGACAAAATTGCACGTTTGGAAACAGTCGCTGAGCATATTCAGATGCCACTAGCGAATAACACGGTATTTTTGTGGTCGTCATCCACAGGTGACATTAGATTGATAGACTATGTGGGTT